TATAATTCATTAAACTTGAACATGTTCATGAACTTTTAAACTAAACCTAAACTGAATCTGAACTTGACTTAAAAGTTCAATATTGAACCTGAACTAAACTTTTTTTAAAAAAATTTTAAGTTCAAGTTCAGTTTAATTTTGAACTGAACTTGAACTTGGCCAAAAGTTCAGTTCAGTTTAGTTCATAGAAACACCAGGCATTATTATCGAAATGGTGTTAGAACAAAAAGATTTGAAAAATACTAAATATTTTAAATTGCTAGATTAAAGACTCAGATCTTTTACATTCTATTAATTTTAAAATCTATAATAGATTTCAGATATAGTATATAGTTGAGAATATATATGCTGATAAAATTATTTTAAGATCTAAAACCCAAAATTAAAATTTGAATACAAAATTGTTTTTGATCTTTTTATTTAAAAGACAAAATTTTTTGACACTTTTTTTGAAAAAATGAAATTATGAAGAATATAACTATCTAAATTAAATTTGCTCTTGTATATAAAAAATTTTAATTTGCTTTAATAGAGATGAAATAAATTTTTTTTTAAAACTCTATTTTAGTAGTATATATAGTTGAGAATGTATATTATTAAAAGAATAATTTTAAAGAATATACATATTTTTAGTTTTAATAGGCAGTTTAGATATTTGAAAAACTATATTTTATGTGACGGCTGATGCTGAATTTGGCTGATGCTATAGATGCAAAAATTGGAAGACGTATAGATGCGTCAACTTGATGCGTCGTTAAGTCAAAAGTGTTGTAATAATACAAGTAGTATTAGTTGTCGTTTGCCATAACTGATATAATCAATGTAACCTAAGAGACTTGCTATAATTAATATAACTGACATAACTACTCTATAAAAAATTATCTGAATATTTCCACTATTTATCCGTTGTCTCCATAAAAATTCTATAAAAATGATTTATTTACGAATATCTGTGTTAAGGAGATGAAAATTTCAATAATTTAAGGTTATAAATTCCATGAAAATGAAATATTCATGGAAAAACATGGAATAATAAATACAAAACAACATTTTTATAGGGCTAGAGAAATTTCTCGGTATTGTTAATATTGTAATAAAACACAAAAGTTTACATTGCTGATGTAATAGACAAAATGATATAATCAACATATAATTGGCATTACTGTAAATAAGAAGCCTAGTCATTATTTTAAAGTCCAATTAATAGGTGCAGAAAGATTTATGTCACTAGATTAAGTTCTATTGTAAAGACATGTTGACATGCCTTTATAGCAGAATATAATCAGTGATATAAATCTTTTTGCATCTATCATTATAGTCAAATTAATTGTCTTTCATTTAAATATTATTGTAAATAATTAATGAATTAAAACAATAAAGAAAATCACACAAATGTCTTTACATGAAGAAGTTCTTTTACATGATTATGCTAATGAAGTTTCAGAGTCTAGTTCACGCATCTGTGAGGAAGTTCCTTTATATGATTATGCTAATGAAGTTTCAGAATCTAGTTCACGCATCCATGAGAATGATAGTTCTGAGCTATTCAAATCTGCTAAACGACCACAGAAAAAAGCCAAAAAAGGTGGCCCTATATTTGATGAAGTATGGAGTTATTTTATAAAGGGTGAACAAGTAAATCCTAAACATTATAAAACTATATGCTATTATTGTAACAAGTCTTGGCCAAGAGGTAAACCATATAGTTTGAAAGCTCATCTTGCAAATGATTGCTCTAACATACCTGAAAATATTCGAAAGTATTGGCACAATAAACTTGTAGAAAATAATAGCGCATATTCAAGAAATTCACATTTAAAATCAATTTTACCTGTACAAGTTAGTAACGATTATGATAGGTTGCTTTTGAAGGCTTGGATTGTTACTAATATCCTATTTGAAGTTGTTGAGAATCTATTTGTTAGAGATTTATTTAAAGCTCATAATCCGGCTTATGTATTACTATTACGTACAATATTATCTGAACGGCTACTAAATGAAGAATTGGCTCGTGTGCAAAATGCTATAGATAATGAATTAGAAAATGCCGAATATTTAACATTAAGTATGCATATGTATATTTTATTTTAAAATTCTGCAAGTACCAGTTATACTAAATACAGGTTACAGTATATTAATCTTTATTAATATTTTAATTAATATTTTTTTTATAATATAGCTCTTGACGGATGGACTTCTAAATGCGATAAATCAATATATAATTATATTATAACGATCAGGAAAAGAAAAGAATATTTAATTTCATTAAGAAATTATTCTTCAGAATCTCACACTGGCGACTTTTTAGCTTCAGAGATCTCAAATATCATTGAACAAATTGGTCCTAATAAGTTTATAGCCATTGTTACTGACATAGCTTCGAATTGTCAAATTGCAAGAGAAAAAATACAAAACAAATATAAACATATTTTAAATTTTCAGTACATCGCACATGCGATCAATTTAATTGCTATGGATTTAACAAAACTTGCTGAAATAAAAGCATTTATTGGTCAATGTGGAAAATTGGTAAAATTTTTTAATAAATTACTACAGAAGTTAGTATTATTACAACAAGAATTAGCCAATATGAAAATCAAGTCAGAGGGTCTAAAATCATGGTGTCAAACTCGTTGGGGATCATTATATAATACAACTAATTCTATTCTAGTTGCATGTTTCGTATTTGACTAGGTATGTTATTTTAATTTATACAAAAACTTGTATATACTTTAGTAATATATAATAATATATATTTATAGATTCTGGATAAGCATTTAAATATGGTTACAAATAATGAAATCTTTAATTTATTACATAATGAAGATTTTTTTATTATGTGCCGACAAATTAAATCTATATGGAAACCAATAAAATCTTGCATCAACATATTAAAAAGCGGCATTGCATCTTTAGCTAACTGTTTTATTTGTATAATTAAGTTAGCTATTGCAATCTATCAAATTCCTGAATCTAACAAGTTCAAATCTGCTACGATTAAAATATTTAATCGATGTTATATAGAGTTTCAGCATTCGTGTTACCTTTTGTGTTACTATCTTCATCCATTTTATCATAGTATATACTGTATAAATATTTATATACAGTATAATAATATATATATTTTATTATACTTAATATTAATATATATATATATATATTTTTTTTTAGGAATTTTTGGTCTTAAAAATGAAGTATTCCGTGATGCTACTATAACTGCTTCAACTATATAGAAGAATTTAGAGTACTCAGAACAGGAATGTGAAGAGTTAATTTTATTATTTCGTTATTACGATGCTAAAAAAAGCCCTATGATCTTCCTTACGTCCAAGGTCTTGATACTCTAATGTTATAGTGAGGAATATTTAAAAACTACCCACGTTGTCTTTCAGAACTTTCACAAAGATTGTTTAGTGTTTCACCGTCCCAGACTAATTGTGAATGAAATTTTTCGAGTTTAAAATAGTTTATTGGAGACAAACATACTCGTCTTGATGTTAAAAAGCTTGAAGAGATGACAAAAATCAGATCGTACTACTTAACAAATATACGAAATGAGCTTAATCATTTTGAAACCAAATTAACTAAATCTGATCTGCATGAGATTGTAAATTTACTTCAATTAATAATTTTATTGCAGGTGAAGAAGAAAATAAAGAATATGAAAATAATAATAAGTGGTTTCAAAATTAAAATCAGAGAATCGTATTTTATTTTCTGATTTATAATTCAGCATAGTAAAAATGCTATTAAAAAATCCTACTTATTTTCGAAATATCATTTATTTGTTTATTTTAAAACCTCTTAATAGTCAAAATTTATTGTCTCGAACTGATTTGGTTTTAGAAGACATGGTAAATTTAAGAGACCCAATATTTCAAGAAAGGGATATTGAACTACGTGAAGATCCAACTAATAATTCTAATCACAGCATTGAAACCAGCAGTAGCATTAACATAGATTTTGATCCAGAAAGTCTTGTTGACTCAGTTTTGAATACTGATTTAGATAACTTTTTAATATTTAAATTTTATTTTATTTTTATTTTAAAAGTTTATTTAGTAAAATGACAATAGTATCTCAATTTTCTATATGCTCTAGAAGTACCAATACATAATACGGATTTATCAATTTAAAAAAAAATGGTGAATTCGAATAAACCTGTAGAATGCAAGTGAAATAGCAAAGATAAAAACAATTAAAAAAAACCTTCCATAATATGCTTTTCTCTAAACTACTGTATGCTATTATTATATATTCGTATAAAACATTGTGAAAATACTCAGAGAAAACATTAATATGATGTTAATTCAATACAAAACAATAAATTTTATACAATTGTTTGCACAAGCATGAAACCAGATTACTTCATAGAAGTCAAATATCAGCACATGTTATAATAAGTCCCAAATGAGACAGGCTACAAAACTTCATTATTTTCACATCTCTATGAAAAGTATTTATGGTACAATTGCGGTATATGTCAATATTATGGCACACATCAAATATTATGTTTCACATCAAATATTATGGCACACGTTAAATATTAAGATACATGTCAAGTATTATAGCAAATATCAGTTACAACTTTTTGACATATCATTTTATCATTGAGTTACGTCCAATTGATGTTATGATCAGTCACGGAACTACTATATTTCTGCACCTATAGCTGATGCTGAATATCACGTGACACTTCGGGCCGGAAATCACAGATCATATCACGTGCTGATCATGTGTTGATCATACTGTACGTACTATTCAGGCTGAAAATTGCAGATCACTACTGAAGTATTGCTACATCAAATAAATTTAAAACACGTTTTGTCAAAATAAAAAATCTGTATAGGAATCAGATCGACCTTTTCTAACCATATCGTAAGTACTAAGATTTTTTTGTATCAATAAATTTATCATGTGATTTATTGCAATAAAGTTATACGATACTAAAATGCTAAAAACATTACATCGACACAACTTAAATCTACTAAGTCTTAACGCTGACCCTAACCTAACTCTAATGTCATCCTTTTTTTGTCATTTTTTTTATTCGGCTCTAGTTTTCTCCTTTTTTTTGATTTCCTCTTCTTTGATTCTTTTTTTTTAATTCCTATTCTCTTTTTTTTTGATCCCTTTTTTTCGATTTTCTTTTCTTTTTTTGCTTTTCTGATTTCTTTTTTTTCAATTTCTTTTTTTTCGATCCCTTTTCTTTTTTTGCTTCTCTTTCCTATTTTCAATTTCCTTTTCTCTCTTCGATTCACTTTCTTTTTCGATTCATTTGTCTTTTTTTGATCCTTTTCTTGTATTGTCTTCTATTTTTTCTTCATTTTTCTTTTTTTTAATTTGGCTTTTGATATTTCTTTTTGATTATCTTTCTTTTTCTTCTCTTTGATTTTTATTCTTTTTTTTTTTTTTTTTTGTTTAGATAGTTTTAATCCTATTAACAGGAAGTTAGATCTTCTTGCCATCAATGTTTATAATCGTTATGCGATTGTTAGATGTCAATGCTTTGAACACACCTTGTTGTAAAAACGTTGGCTGAAGCTTTTGCTTTCACGTTTGTTGATTCGTATCATGATTAGGTGCAATAGCAACCATGGTCTCAGCTTCAATTGTATTGTTTGGTGATTTTTTTTTATGAACAATACCCTTTTTATACATCTTATCTCAAGATTTCTCTAGTGATGCATTAACAGATTGTTGATTTGCAATATATGTGAAATATGTGGTCAACAATCTCAGGCGTGACATCAACATTATTACAATTAACCTCCTTAGAAATATTTTGCAATTCTTCAGGGATGTCATAAATACAATGCATTTTCCAACCAAATATTACCTGGTGTGGTGTACAATCATACACTTCGTGTATAGAAGAATTATAAGATACAATGAAGGCATCAACAACATTAACCCAGTCCTTCTATTGTAATTGACTATTTTTATCCTATAGCATTTTGGTAAAACTACGACCAACAGTCTGGTTAAGACGTTCAACCTGGCCTTGCGATTGTGGGTGGCAGGCAACCATACCTAATTGTAATACCCAGAGTCCCACATATTTGAGTAAGGATTTGCACAACAAACTTCTTGCTATTGTCACTTTGAAGAATCATGGGGGCCCAAAATCTTAAAAACGTCTTTTACAAGGTGATTTGCAACAGTATTAGACTCCTTGTTTTTTAGGGAAACAGCCACAAAGAATTTTGAAAACACGCAAATGCATGTAAATAACCATGCGAAACCCTCATTCATCTCCATATAATCACGAAAGTCCACAAGGTCAATTTGAACATGTTTCTATGATGCTGTGGATACTACTGGCATCATATCAGTCTTTTCTTTAAGGTAAGTGCTCACCACACAAGAGGTACATTCGTTGACATATGTCTGAACTTTTTCTTGCGTAATTCCAATATAGTGTTTGGAAATAGTGACGAATGTCTTGTGATAGTTACGGTGGTTTGCTTGATCGTGAAAATGTTGTAATATCCGGGTGCGTAATTCTTGGTCATACTTGGAGACCACATGGCATCTTTCCAATGTAATACCATTCTTTACAACAGCAGGAGTGTATAAGATTCTATTTTCATCCAATACAAATTTTGTGCATTGATGAATAAAAGTTGGTTTGGCACACTTTTTCAAAACATCTTCGGAGACCATTTTTGAGTGAAGAAATTCCACTATCGCTTGGTATTCAGCTTTCGTCTCTGGGATTTTGGAGATTGCCAGCATAAGATTAAAAAAAAAAAAAGTTTTTTTTAGTTTTTTTTAAAAAAAAACTGCAGAAGGAGAAAATTTGCAAGAAAAAAAAACTCTTGCTAAAATACAGTTTAAACATAAAAAAAAACTTGTATTATCGTTGGCGGATGACACTCATATATGTAAAAGCGTTGTCACTATATTCTCATATCAGTATTCAATAGGTTTCAATAGGTGGGTGGATGGGCGAGCGAACATAAAAAGAGAATTTTATGCACAACATGTATAACAAAACAATGATATTTATGCTGTATTGTATATACGGCATGATCGTTTCTACAATTTCTGGCCTGAATGGTACGAATGGTATGATCAGCACGTGATCGGCACATGATATGATCTGTGATTTCTGGCCTTGTATGTCACGTGATATTTAGCATCAGCCAAATTCAGCATTAGCTATCATATTTTATTAATACAGGTTCTTTTTTTTTTTTTTTTGGTGTTAAGATAAGGCCTTGCTCATATCTTTATTAATAATTTTTAAAATAGTTACAATGTAAATTGCTACAGCGCAGTTATCGAGACTTCCACTTGTGGTCAGGGCTAACCATTAAACCACTATATGTAGAGATTTACAATACTACTACTATTTGTACCAATACAAATAAAGTTAAAATTACATGCAAGAATAAGAGCTCAGACAGAGAAAAATTTATCTGTAACCTAAACCTACTAG